AATATTATAATAATTAATAACTTAAATAATTAAAAATTCATAAAAGAAATGAATTAAAAAATTAAGTTTACTCACAAAGTTTCAATTATGCCATTTATATTGTGACGATCTGAGAGTATTTAAGCAAGGGGTATACGGTGTGGAGTTGAAAAGTTTGAAATTTGAAGTGTATGTAGGAGTGGGGAAAAACAAAGAAATTAAATAGGAATGAGCTGGCTATGAAATGATTTAATGATGAGCTTTTAGCTATACGATGGTAAAAAATAAATTGTCTCCGAACTATTAATAGTTTTAAGATATATTTATATATATTTTTAATATATAATATGAGTATATGATATGATAGATGATGTCAAACTCTTTTAAGAGATTGAGACTTTTAAAATCAAGAGAAGTGTTTGCACACCCACAAACTTGACGAGAAGTTCATCTTGCATACAAATTTTTGGGGTTTCAAGTCTTGCATCCACCAAGAATATTTCTTGCCTGAAGCGTAAAATATCAGATTGTAGAATATTTTCACTATATAAAAAAAATTGAAATTCGATCTTGAAAATAGGAAAGGGAGAAGAAAGCTCATCATAACTGTGAAAAGTCACTTTAAAAGGCTATGATGAGCCTTTTTTGTGACTCGAACTTAAGAGTGTATGCAAGATCGAGAGTATATTTAAGTTAAATTAGTCAAGTAAAAATATATTTTTAAAACTATCAATAATTTAAAAATAAAACTAATAATTCGTATAAATTTAAAAGGAGAAGATTTGAGAAAATATTTTAGCAAGGGGTATACGGTGCGGAGCTGAAAAGTTTGAAATTTGAAGTGTAAGTATGAGTGGGGAGAAAAACAAAGAAATTAAATGGGAATGAGCTGGCTATGAAATGATTTAATTATGAGCTTTTAGCTATATGAGGGTAAAAAAAATCGTTTCTCAACTATTGATAGTTTTAAAATACACTTATATATATTTTTAATATATAACGTGAGTATATGATATGATAAATGGTCTCAAATTCTTATAAAAACATGAGATTTCTAAAATCAAGAAAATCATTGAAATATCATAAATTTGACGAGTATTTAAAAATATATTTCACTAATATTATATGATCGAGAATATACTTAAATTTAATTAGTCAAGTAAAAGTTTACTTTTAAGACTGTCAACAATTTAAAAATAAATTAATAAATTCGTATTAAATTTAAATCTATAATTAGCAGGAAAAAGGTTGATTTTTTTTTGGGGGTAAAATCAAATTATATATAATAGTATAATACTTTTTTTTACGTATATTCAAGGTAGAAAATATGAAGTTGGATATTTCGTGGCCACAAAGATTGATATACAGTCAATGATACTAATGACTTTGAAGTGTAATCATTTGACACCTAAATTATTTATTGCTATAAAACAATAAATAAATTGAGACGCGGAATCTTTCTCTATAATCTGAATTTCGTTTCTGCTTTACATTGCGTGAGGTAAAGGAAGTTTGGTCCTTTGAAAAACAAGTGGATATATTAAGTCTACCGATATGAATTGTAGTGCAGTAATGAAATTATTTTATTTTTAATTAGTGATATTGAATTTGAGTTTTTAATATGAAAAGAAATTCCTAAAATGTGTAATTCAAATTTAATTGAGGTTCAATATATATGTTTCAAACACCGTTTGAAAAAAAAAAAGTTTTGAGTTCACTTTCCTCGCAATACTACTCCTACCCCTAGACTATTAAAATGTCACAACATCGTTTTAAAAATATGATTTTTATATTATACTAATGCAGTTTTACTAGGTTATTTAATAGGAAAATTGTCTAATTACATAAATATTTTTAATATTTACTTTTTTTCTTGTCATTTTATAATTTATGTATAATACAAATCCTTAGATATTTGTACGACTGATAATTATTTCATAAGGGTAAACAGTGATTTTTTAAGTTAAATAATTTCTAATTATAGTAAAGTGATATTTCTTTTGAGACGGCCTAAAAGGAAAGAGCGTCACATAACAGAGGGAGTAATTAATTTTCCTATAGTTTGAAACATATTGTAAAATTAGTTGATAATTTCATACTAGATTTTAAGTTAGATACACATATTTCTGCTACCAGAACACTTTTAAATACAAATACTTAAGGAGAAAGGTAAGGGATAGTGTCTAATACATGTAAATCACACTAGATACATGTATCTGAAATGTCAAATACATTATGAAATAAAATACATAAGGAGAGAGGCGAGCGACATAGGACAAAAACGAGCAAGATGTGAGAGAAGTGATTGAGAGACTCAAATACATGTAAATCACACTCAATCCATATATCTGGAATATCAAATACATTTTGAAATACAAGGAAGAGAGGCGAGCGACATAGGACAGAGGTAAGCAAGATAGGAGAGAGGTGAGCGAGAAAGGCAGATACATATGTACACACTTAGATATAATATATCTAAAAAAAATTATACCAAATTTTGACCTTGTAACTAATGTACATGTATTCAAATGCACGAAAGATATGTATTTATGATAATTTTGAGAACTCACTGAAAGATACATAATTAAGCCCTACACTAATAAAATTTATGTTTTTTATTTAACGTACAACAAATATTTATAATTTTATTTAGTGTAAATTTAGTTTTTATATATTATATATTTACTTGAGATTGCAACCAGAAAAATTCTTTTAACTTCAAATTCTAAACCTTCTATCCATTTTCACATTGTCATTTATTTGTTATGTTAAGAAGTTGTTTATAAAATGACATAATAATGTAAATATTAATTATATCAGGAATTTCTACCCCTTCCCCCCCATATTGTGCCTAATGTTGGAGATATGCATGGACAAGTTTCTTTGCTTTACTCGTTGTTGCTGTTTTCTTTTTTCTTTGCGGGATTGCCTTATTTTTTGGAAAAATTATGTGAATAAATAAATATATAATAGTCTATTAGTAACATAGTTATAATTTAAATTAATTATCATTTGCAGTCTCTTCGATTATAGTTATGTGTACCTCTATCCTCTCTTATATATATACAAATACAAATTATACATATACATATATAATTATATATAGGGTATACAAATAAAATTTGTCTCTCTCCACTCTCTGCTTCTCTTTTGCTGGCTTCTCTCCTTCTCTCAATCTCGCTTGCCAGATATACAAGTACATATGTAATCCATTTATATATATACAAATATTTGGCAGATTTTACATATACAATTCGATAGAAATACAGATACAATTCACCTTTCTCCACTCTCTGTTCAATCTTATTTGCATCTCTCCTCCTCCTTTCAATCTCACTTGCCTCTCTCCTCCTCTAACATGTAATTAAAAATTGTAATTAGCAAACTATAGTGATAAAACCTAATTAAATTATTTTTAGTGGCTATTTAAGAAATTTCCTCTATCTTTTTTTTGTTTTCTCTCTCATTGGACTTTCTTTTTTCACGGGGCTAGCTTCCTCCTTTCTTTCTTTCATTCTTATTTTCTTAAATATCTAATTAAAAAATGTATATATCAAGACATCTATGAGATGATCCAATCTTTCCTCATTGGTATATCCATATATATATATATATATATGTAATTATTAATATAACTTATGATCAAATGAATTGTTATAATTATAGGAATTAAAATATAGTGAATTTGATTATTTTTTGTTTTTTGTTTTTTGTTTTTTGTCCTGTCTTTTTTATTGTTTTAGTGCCTGTATATTCAGATTCACATGAAAAAATTTCACTTCAAAGATAAAATTTCAAAGACTTTAACTCCAAAGCTCTAAATTAAGAATAAACATATACATATTATTTTCATCTCAACTTATGAATTTGATATGCACTATATTGGAAAATAATGATTTTTGCATTGATATATATTTGATGGAATAAAATAGGCCTCGAAGAACAAGGAAGGAGAAGAAAAATAATACGGCTTCTAACTCTATTAGGGGATAAAGATTCGATCAAATAATGTCCAATGACCTTATAGATTTATGCCATGTGTATTCTATGATAATTTATGGTTGAGATTAATTTAAATTATATATTCATCTGAATAATAAATTTAAATTATATACTCATCTTAATAATACAAACAACAAAGCTGCCAATTATTTTTTATTTTTTTAAAACTATCAATTAAAATAATTAATTGTACTCAAGCTAATATTTTCTAGAAAAAAAATTGAGATTGCCGGGTATGTGGATCGAGAGTTGATAAAACTCAATTTGATAATGCAAATACTTTTAATCAGGTATATTAAATCTTCTTTTTCAATCTTAATTACTTTTAAAAATATTGGTCTTGTGTATACACTTAATTGTTTTATTTGATAATTTTAAAAAATAAAAATAGTTAACAACTTTGTTATTTTTATTATTCAATGAGTATATATAATTTAAATGAATCTCAATCATAAATTATTATATAGTACACATATCATGAAGCTATAAGGTCATTGAATATTACCTGACCTATTTATACTTAACCGGATCTTTATTTATATTCAGGATACATTAAACATGAAAGATACTAAAGAGTTTCTTTGGATGGCTGTCTCCTAGTGTATTGTATCATTATATTATTTAAAAATTAATTTGTATTTTAATTATTTCTCAGATTTTATTATTTTTATATCATTAAATAGCGTTATATACCAAGAGAAAAGCATCCTTTTATGTAAAAATGTGTGATTGCTTCTTGCTTTATTATTATTTTCTCATCTGTCTTTAATTATTATATAATAATCTTATTTTACCCTATCATTTTTAATTAAACATTTATACTCTATTTTTATTTGTGATATAATATCATAAATTTGCTTTCTAAGTCACATGAAACTATGTAACAATGTTATTCAAACGATGTCTGCATCTACTTACAACCACTTTTTAACTTTATTTACACCGTAAAAATATCTTAAAGCTACTTTAGCTTTAAAAAAGTTTAAAATAAGTCCATCCAGACAAAACAATGCCCCACATCAAAACCAAATGCTTACAAGCACTTTATAACTTAATAAAAACACTTCTAAAAGTGTTTCAAAGCTATTTTAGCTTTAAAATACTTAAAATAAGTCTATCAAAACAAGTTATGAGACCATCACTTTTTTCTTCTTATTCATTTGCTCATCTAATCTAATGTTTAAAATTGTTAGACCAACAACTTAGTGCTCCAAAACATCTTTTGTTTGTTTTCATAATAAGAAAAACAAAACACTAGTTATTAAACTCACAAAAAGAGAACAAGACAAGTGAGCAGGAAATCTTTGGTCCATTATGTTGTTGGAAAAGAAAGGAAGGATGCTAAAACCTATTCTTGCAATGATTTTCTGGCAGCATCTTCTTCTGCTTTCATTTTCCTTTCCCACTTTCTCTTCCTGTAATCAGCCAACATTTCAGGCATTTTTTGCATCAGTTCGGCTGTCTTTGCCCGTTTTTCTGCTGATATTCTGTCACACTTGTGCCCTTTCTGCTTCGTTCTCATTTCCTTTCTCGCTGGATCGTATGGCCAATCTTGTCCAGCAACAACAACTTCCTTGCGCAGACGAGCTCGATGGCGAGCACTCATCCCCAGAGGTTTCCAGGCTCCAAGCTCCCAGTAACCCCAAACTCCCTTTGAAAGCTCATCCTTGTATTTTGCCAACTTTTCTTGCCATGGATATTGATATCGCCCAACTGCTTTTGCTACAGACTTTCCAGCCATTCGTCCTGGAAACAAATACGTAAAAAATTTCTGAGGTTTCAAGTTTATCAAGCAATACTAAAATGAGATGTATGGAAATTAGGTTGGTTATCAAGAAAAAGTTCAAAGGTTATTCCATGATTGTAAGTGGATGCCACAACATATAGCGAATGGAAATAAAACAAGAGTTTGAAAATGCAAGATACTCTCATAAAATGTCCCCCTCTGAAATAACCATCAAAACTACTAACTGTTGCCGCAAAAATATTTAACTCGAATATTTGGTATAACTATGTCCATACACACCTTCTTAGTACAGTACATTTTTGTTCTTAATAAACCTATTCAATAAAATATATATCTGCTTAAAACGAACTAACGAGTTAACTCAATCCGCGTGACAAATTCAAGTGTACCATTTTCTGGTTAAACACATGGAATCCCCATCATTACCCAGGACCAGAACGAGGCTCTTATTCCCCTTCCAACCTTATGAAGTTAAATTAGCGGTATTTGATCTTAATGCTGACAGCACTAGTGGTCCTGATAGCTTCTCAGGGCACTTCTTCCAAATTTGCTGGGGCATAATTAAGGAAGATATCACTAGGATGGTTTGAGCATTTTTTATGGACAAGAACTTCTAAGATTGTTAACACACAAATCTGGTGTTGATTCCCTAAGGTGGAGGAGGTTCAAAAAATTTCAGACCTAAGGCCAATCAGCCTAAGTATGTTTGCTGATAAGATTATATCTAGAGTTCTTCATGGTAGGTTCTTGGTGGTTCTACCTAATCTATTCTCCAAATATCAGACTGGCTTTGTGAAAGGTAGAAGTATTATAAAAAAATGTTCTGCTGACACAAAAGATCATCAGGGACATCAACAAGAGGAATAAGCTGCATAACATAGTGGTTAAGGTGGATATAACCAAAGTATATGTTAGGATATCTTGAATTTTCCTAACAAACGTACTGAGGCAGTTTGGTTTCTCAGAGGTGATAATTGACATGATTTGGAGACTAGTATCTAATAATTGGTACTCAGTGTTAGTGAATGGGCAAACCCATGGTTTTTCTCATTCCTCTAGAGGACTCAAGCAGGGTGATCCTCTGTCTCCAACTTTATTTATTATAGCTGCAGAAGTTTTATCAAGAGGGCTAAATAATCTCTACTCAAACAAAAGATTCAAGGGATATGGATTGCCAAAGTGGAGCCCAGAGATTAACCACCTTGCATATGCTGATGATACAATCTTATTCTGTTCTGCGGACCCACATGCCATAAAGATGATGATTAAGGTTCTAAAAAATACGAGGATACTTCAGGTGAGTTGATCAAAGATTCAAAGAGCTGTTTTTATGCAGATGAGAAACTTTTTGTTGCAATTACAAACTGGATAACAAGGAAGAGAGGGATGAAAAAAGGGACATTTCCCTTCACATACTTAGGATGTCCTACTTTCAATGGTAGAAGGTGATATATTACGAAAACCTCATTAAAAATATGATGAAGAGAGTTATGTCATAGCAGAACAGATTCTTAACCTTTGAGGGAAAAATCATTCTGGTCAATCATGTTTTGCAGACAATACCTGTCTATTTGCTTTCTGCTATGAACCCTCCTAAAGGGGTTCAGCAAATCCACAAGATATTTGCTAAATTCTTTTGGAGTAACTCTACAGGTGATAGAAGGAAACATTGGGTAGCTTGGGATAAGATGTGTCTTCCCAAGAATGAAGGGAGTCTAGGATTTAGATCACTTCATGACATATCTAAGGCCCTTCTTGCAAAGCTATGGTGGAACTTTAGAATATCTAGGACTAGATGGAGCACCTAAATGTGGAATAAGTATTGCAAGAAAGTCCACCCAATTATAGCTTATGGGCCTGGAATATCACATGTGTGGAAAAAACTGATAGAAGTCAGAGTAGAGGCAGAACATCAGATATGGTGGCAATTAAAAGCAGGAAACTCCATCCTCTGGTATGATAACTGGACAAAACAGGGAGCACTTTACTTTGTAGAGAAAGGCCATGGTATTTGGGAGGAAATGGAGGTAAAGGAATTCATAGTAAATGGGCAATGGAACCTACGGAAACGTTTTGCAAGGGTTGTTATCAGAAGAAATGGTTGGTTACATTGTCCAGAACATCAGTTCAAGTTTAACTAATGACGATAATGACAAGGCTTGGTAAATGGGCAGCAACACTGGTATATTTAGTGTGAAAACTGCTTGGGAGGCGATAAGAAAAATGGAGGAAACAACTCAAATTTATGACTATATATGGTTGAAGGGGCTACCAATCCAAATTGGTTTTTTCCTAGGGTGGTAAAGAGGAGAACTCCTACTGATGACAACCTAACGTTCTTAAGGATGCACAATGCCTCAAGGTGTTGGTGTTCTGAAAAAAAATCACAAGAAACTATGTCTCACCTTTTTCTAACATCTCCTATAGCCTTACAGTTATAAAGACAATTTTCTACTTGTGTAGGTATAAACATTGAAGAATTGCAATTGCAACAAGCTATAACAGAACGGTGGACAACTCCTACAGAAAACAAACTACAAAAGTTTTTAAAGCAATGCCAACATTTATGATGTGGGAGTTGTGGAAGAGAAGGAATTCTAGGAGACATGGAAATGATGTCACAATCAACAGAATGGTATACCAAGTTCAGAAGACAACATATCAAATGATAAGAGTTATATACCCACAGATGAAATTAATACCACAAGATTGGCCATCACTACTACAATACATGAAGAAATATAGACCAAGGATTCATTTTTGTGCTATAAGATGGGAATAACCACCTCCAGGAAGACTCAAACGTAACACTGACGGGGCAAGTCATGGCAATCCAGGTGAAAGTTCCTATGGATTTTCTATTAGAGACGATAAGGGAGATTCAATTTACGCCCAAGCAGATCGGATAAGAATTACTACTAACATAGAGGCAGAAGCAATGGTTGTGTATGAATCTAAGATATTGCTCCGCACACAATCTCCAAGGGTTATACTGGAAACACAAGGTCAACCATCAGAGGGAACACAAGCACAAACAACCAATACAAGGAAAATAAGTATTTAGCAAGCAAATACAAAAGAAAAGAACAAATCTACTTGTTGAAGCAGAGCTTTCAGCTAGAGGCATACAATAGATTAGGCTGATTAGCAAAAGCATCGGAGAACACAACATCATAGATCAGGAAGAGCAAGAGACAAAAAACAAACGAAAACAAGAGTGATGAAGGATAAAAACGTATCTACACTACTAAAAACAGTGAATACCGACCTCCAGAGGTCGTCGACTTCCCAACTTAGGTCGGAAAAAGCTTGGGCTCTATTCAATTCCGACCTCTGGAAGTCTGTATTTACTGACCTCTCGAGGTCAGTTTCAATTTAAGTCGATAAATTCATTATTTATTTTCCAACTTCCTGAGGTCACTTTATATATTTATTTATTTTTATTATTATTATTTTCGTCTTCCGGAGGTTACAATATTTACTTCTCAAATTGTGGAATACCGACCTCCGGATGCCGGTATGTTTTAATTTTATTTTTTCTTAATTTTTAAATTCTGACCTCCGAAAGTCGGTATTCTTATTTCTTATTTTTTAGATTCCGATTCTTATTTTTTAAATTCCGACCTCCGGAGGTCGATATTTTTATTTCTTATTTTTTTAGATTCCGACATTCGTAGACATTATACATATTGTCTCTCTTCCTCTCACTTTATCTTGTGTAAATGATCTGTCCCGGCTCTCAAGAGGTAGAGTGCTACAATATTCCTGAGATATTCGTATAAACCTATCTTGTAATTTAAACAAAGAACTCTACGAATAAGAATATAATATATACAAGAGAAAGAAAAAAAGATTAGCTTGAATAGAGTTCTTACATATGTCTCTTGAGCACGTGACTCAATCCATCTTTCTTCTTCTCCGGGTTCGAGTTTAGTTTTAACTTATTCCAACTCTATATTCACCAACTAAATCACATTATATAATAACAACTAAACAACTTTCTAAGTCTAATTAGTTTAGTTTTAACTTAATTCCAATACTATATTCACCAATTTAACTTGTTAAACAACTTAACAATTTTCTAAGTAAAATTAGTTTAGCTTTAACTTAATTCCAACACTATATTCACCAACTAAAACACATTATATAATTTTAACTTATTTGAAGAACTTAACAACTTTATAAGTCTAATTAGTTTAGTTTTAACTTAATTTTAACTTAATTTCAACACTATATTCACCAACTAAATGATATTATATAATTTAACTTATTCCCGAAATCTTAATTATTTCAAGAGTAGAGAGCAATATTAACGTATAAGCAATGAGAGAATGTGAGGGTGAATGAATGAGTGAGTGTATGAGTCTAAGAGTGTGAGGGTATGTTCAAGTCTATCAAAGAATGAAAGCGGGCATGCCTATATACTAGATGAGAGAGCAGAATACTAAAGGAAGGGAATAAATTAAGAGGACAATTATGTCGTCAGAAAAAATTAAGAGGACAATTATAATATATTTTCCTTAGATTAAACATTACCAAATCAATGAAATATTTTACATAATAATTCACAATTTTACCAAAAATAAAGCAAGTAAAATCTACTTTAATTTATTTAAAACAAGCAAATAAACAATTAAGGATAGTCAATTAATGCAATATAAAAGCAGGTAAGGAAAGAAATATTTAGGCAAAGGTTAAGGATCAAATTACATAGCTTCACAATTTATTTCTGGGACATCTAACTTTAACTTATTGAAACAAAAGGTAACAGATTCTAATAGCAAAGCAAATAATCAATTATAAAAATAGTAAGGTGGTTTAGATTAATCAATAGAAACAATCAAATGCATTTTTTGGCAAATTACTCAATTAATGCCCAATTTCATCGAATCACTGCAAAAGTCAGCCACAAGCAATTAAGACTAGCATTTTCACAGAAGGCAGCCATATGGAGAAACTAATCTTGAAGAAAGATTGGATCAAAATCATAATGCTACTTAAATAATGCCAAAACAAATGAACAAATTCATACGAATCCGCCTAAAACATGTACAAGAAGAGATAATCTGAGCATTAACCAAGAATTTTAGAAGATAAAACTAACCGGGCGGATCTGTTAAGATCGTTTTTCAATGCACCAAAATATACAAGTGGTTTGTTGAATTTCGAAGGTCGCCTAAGGAGGAAATGCAGCGGCGTCTGGCGGCTCGCTGTTGCGGAGTTTTTGCCAGTAGGAGGTTCACTGGGCGTTGGAGTTGTTGGCGCTGCTACTGCCGTCCTTGCCGGAGCTGCTGCTGCTCGGAGAAAAAGAGAAGAGGAGAAGAGGGAGGCGGAGAGAGGGGCAGGATGAGTCGCTGGCTGCTGCTCTCGCCGGCAAAAAATGGAGAGGACGCAGGGAAAGGGGAAGGGGAGAAGAAGCGGAGGTAGGAGAGGAAGAATGAATTAGTTTTAGGAATTTTGGTCGTTTTAGGTTAAAGAGGAAGGTAAAGTTTTGATCTTAATCGTAGATTTAAAAAGAGATGAATGACTAAGATTCGATCTTACGTTTTAACGAAAGTATGGATGGTTGAGATCATAAAATCAGATTGGATTGATACTCAGAATGAAATATCCTTGACATGTCATTATAATTAGGAAGGGATCACTACACTCGATATACATTTAAGATCAAAAATATATATATAATAATACTATCTCGCATTTTAAATTCGAATAGATTATATGTTAGCTCTTCACATCTACATCGATAGCCTGATAGATTTGTACATTACTCTAAAAATATAAGTATAATTATATTCTAATTCATATAACCGTAGTTCATACAAAAATTATGATGAATAAACAATTTTTAATAAACCGATCCCCGGATGTCGCTTTTATTAAAAATAATTACATATAATAAAAAATGTGCCGACCTCATGATATTAAATTTTAAGATAAATGAAAACTAATCATATTATATATATATATATATATATATATATATATATATATATATATATATATATATATATATATATAAGTCAATAGAAGTTTAATTTATTGATCAAGTTAATTCTATAAATTTAAATTATATAACTTTAATTTTATCGATCAATAAAAGTTAATCGATATCAAATCTAATATATAAATTTTCTTAAATTGATCATCGATATTTCTTTAATTGATAATGTATTTCATATCAAAAAAGTCCTCCGGAAGACGATTTAAATAATATAAAATCAAAATATTTCTAAATTCTGTTTTTTATAGTTCATTGAGAAAAAATAAAATATGGTTATTTATTTATTTTATTTAAAACCGACATCAAGAGGTCGATTTTAATTGTAATTCATTTTTTCTGCGAAAAATACCGACCTCCTGAGGTCCAAATTTTTTTTCCCGCTTTATTTTGCATAAAAACCGACTATTTATAGTCGGTTTTCTATAGTTTTTGTATTTTTTTATTCTTTTTAACAATACTGACCTCCATTTGAGGTTGGTAATATTTAGATAGCACTGTTTTTAGTAGTGCTAGCCGACTACAACAAGAGAACTGCGATTTGATAAAATCGAAAGCAAAGGGAAGAACTCCAAGGAGGTAAATCGAGGCGAGATCAATGGAGAAACAAGAAAAGAACACAAAATAAGCACAACAACAAATAGAAGTATAAACAAGCAGCAATGGCAAGGAGGAGAGACTTACAGCGGAAGAAGCTTCAAGAATGTCTTACTCTCACTTCACCTTCAAAATTTTAGGCATAAGACTTAGTGTTCTTTATTTTAATTAGAATTTGCTTATTTTTTGAACAATTTCTGAACTGATCACTGTCTATTAGGGCCATTTTCAATTTAATAAAATTGGCATGTGGGCCACAATTTTTTTTTTTAAAAAAATCTATAAATAATGTAATGAAAACGATAGATAGTTGGGTCCATTTTCAATCATACTTACAGCCCTGCATCGGAGACATTTCTTTTGAATCGAGGGTCTACCTGGAACTAGGGGTGGGCGTCGGTTTGTAAATTTCAGTTTGAAAAAAAATGTGAAATCAAATCAAATTGAAATAAATTTGTCGATTATTACAAATTTTGGTTCGTTTTTACCAAATTTAATAAACAGTGGTACATTTTTAAAATTCAATCACTTTTGTTCACTTTTTTATGTTGTTAGTACGTCTCACTTTTTTTTTCCAGATACAAGGAACCCAAAAACAAACAAAGAGCATTATTGTGGTTATAACTTATAACACCAAACAAGCTAAGTTAACTTTCAACACATTACTAATTACACACTAAGAGTAATACCTACCAGCAGCAGCAATACAATAGTACAACACACTAACAGACTGTATCCAAAGGATGAGGATGTATATGAATCTATCAACTGAAAATGAATCTTCATAGGCCATAGCAAATAATGTATCCTTAAATTTGATATTACATCAATAGAATTCACAAGTTATACATGTACCAGCAGTGCAAGACATCCTATTTTATCAGTCCCCTAGACAAATGATTTGTATGTGGAACAAACTACAACAGCTAGTGCAGCCTCAATGCTATAAAATGAGATGACAATTCGAATTTGAAGACTGAAGGGAATTCGAAAATAGTCCCAGGAACTTGGATAGACAAGTTTTGCACTTTAATAGTATCATGAGCTGTACATTCTCTTGAAGACTAAGCTCAGATAAGTTTACTATCAGCAAACTCTTCAACTAAAAATAGTTTACCAGAAGGTTAATTGGACAAGGCTGATTCACAACAAAATATGTCATCTAAATAGTCAACTTATCCTATATCTCACTGTTTGTTGCAGGTTGATTACAAAAGGAAGGTTAGCCTAATGAAGATGCTTGGAGGATGAGAAGTGTGCACTATAACAAGGATACTGATTATGTTGAACATCTCCTCTTTATGTGCTCTTATTTAGTGTAAGTTCAAAATACCATACTAATATAGCTGTAGATTCATAGACAAGTTTAAGGATGAAATTCGAATGAATTAGGAAATTACAAACTTCAAAGATAGGCGTTTACATATGCTGAAGTATTTAGAATGACATTAGATGCGGGAGTTTAAATGGCGAAAAAGGAATTAGAGGATCTTCCAAACAGAGTACAGAAGGCATAAGTCCTCATTATGTTGTTAATAAAACAGTTCATGGTTTCAAAGTGAAAAAAGATATATGAAAATTAAAATTGTGTTTGGTCATGAATATAAATTGGAGTGTATAGACAGGTAAATTGATCAATTTTCATCTCTTTTTATCTGCGAGCTTTAATGATCGAAAGTGAAGTGAAAATTTTTTAATGGTTTAGTGGCAGATGTAAATGCTATTATAGCTCCGACAGAGATCAGTTATACAAGAAACAATTTTGTGAGCATACACATCAATCATTCATATGTATACTCATGTAAGATATTCTCATAGTTACTGCAACTTCTTTCTCATTTTAAGGAAATAACAATTTACAGTGCCATTATAGTTTCTAATGACACGCTTGAGTCATGAAGTCTAAAGCATCACGAAGTGTGGTTAATATTACTTAAATATTATTAGTCCAATTATCTAGTAATTGGTAGAAAAGTCAGTTAGAATTAGCTGTAACAAAGAGGCTGCAGTCAAAAACGAAATCGAGATGGAGGAAACAACACGAGAGAGCAGCTACATGGTAAAGATTGACAAGAAGGAGATGCTCATCACTCCATATTCAAAAACAGTCGATCCACAAACAACATCAAGGACAAACTTAGAGGATGATATGTTAATTGAAAACAAACATGGAAAGCACAATCCCCACATACGAAGGAAAAGAGGCGATGAGCACTGACCTGCGAGGCGTGAGTCACGAGCACTGAACAGTTCCGGGCAGCGAGCACTTAACAGTCAGTGAGGACTGAGCAGTGGCTGGCCTGAGCCTTAAGAGAAGATGGACGACGAGCTGCGGGTATCTTAGACGACTGACGAGAGTTGAGATTTGAGAGCTGTAGTAACTGTGTTAGGGGTTTCAGATTATCAGTTTAGGAATTTTTATTGGAATTTTGGCCTAATTTAAATATGGGTCGTGGGCTTTGTACCGGCGAGGCATAGGCTGAACCGCTGAAATAATTCCCTTTATGTATATAATATTTAGTTTTTTTCGGTTAATAGAGTTTTTAGCTAAAAATTGAAAATCGAATTGAAAAATTAAAATATTGAAATTTGAAATCGAAACTGACTGAAATAATCAAAAATCGAAAAATAGAATTTTGAAAAAATCGATCCGGTCAAAATTTTTGATTTTAACTATATTATGTCCAGTCCTACTCATTTGGGTATATATATATATATATATATGTAACATTATTATTTTTAATGAAATTATTTTCAAAATGAAAATTTAAGTTAATATATTTTATTTTACTTTTTGAAAAAAAAGATATAATAGTCTGCATACGCCACTGGTTGTGGAAACTAATAGTGAAATCTCAGGCTAAAGCAAATATGATAAATTGATCATAATTTTTTACTCTAGATTCAGATTTTCAAAAGGGTTGGTGGCGTTGGAGAGAAGAGTCAAAGAAACTTAATTTTATGGGTAAGACCAGGGCTGCATATCGGTCGATTCGGTTCAGTTTTGAACATTATCGATTTTGCTTATCGGTTATCGGTTTGTAGACTAGCTAAACCACTAAATTATCGGTTTATCGGTTATCGACTCTTATCGATTCGATTTTCGGGTTAACCATTAATATATCATTCAATTTTTTAAAATAATAATCACATGAAAATTTGAAGATGATCCCACGCACTTTGCAAATTAATTCTACAGAATTGCAAATTGCAATTTATAATTTGCACTTTGCACTGCAATTTGCAGGCAGAAAGTGAAAACAATTCAGTGCAGTCATTGCAATTTCAAGTTTCACCAAAAGGAAATGTAAAATTGCAACAACAACATCCACATTCCACTCATTGAAACAAATCAACAACAACATCAACCCATCAAGTTTCACCTTAACAGTTAACAATACTACAATTGTACAATACATATATAAACTTTGCAAAACAAATATGAAATGTCATAATAAAATAACATAATAAAGTAGCAACAAACTGTAACATAATAGCCAACAGTACAAGCTACAAGCATGCAAGTTGCAACATTACAGAAGTAAAAAATTTAACACAATTCCAGCCTGCCACAGTCCACACAAATTTAAAATAGCAGACGCCAGACAGCAGTAACACAACCTGAAAATTGAGTCTAAGCATAGTTCTAATAGTTCATGTTCAAGTAAACAACATAATAACTAGTCATGAATCCTCAAAAGTTGACGATTCTGGTTCCTGTTTTCCAACAATCCTTAACATGCCTTCTTAAGGAGGCAGTCCCACTATTGCGTGAATGGTAATAAACACAACCACAATGAATACATTTTACCTTCCACGATCCATCTTTATTTTCTTCAAGTTTTTCATAGTGATTCCAAACAAGTGATAGATGCATGATGAAATCTGATTAGCAAAGAAACAAAGAAAGTATTAGATCAATAATAAATCAGACACAAAGACAAGATAACACATGTATATACCTTCCTTCCTCCAATTTTACATGTCATCAATGCAAAGTTCTTTTCCAAGTTTAGCAAAATCTAAAGAGAAATACGATAACAAG